CATCTCCCGTGCCCAATTTGAGAAGTTGAACATGGATTTGTTCAGGGAATGTATGGACTTAATCGAAAAGTGTTTGCAGGATGCCAAGATGGAAAAGAAGGCTATTCATGATGTCGTTCTTGTGGGTGGGTCAACTAGGATACCTAGGTACAACAGCTAATTAAAGAATTTTTTGATGGAAAGGAGCTTTGTAAAAGCCTTAATCCAGAGGAGGCAGTTGCCTCTGGGGCTTCCATACATGCTGCAATCGTTAGTGGTGTAATACTACATAGCCAACGCGCTTTGCTTGTGGATGTCACACCAATATCTCTTGGCGTTGAACTGTTTTGTGGTGACATGAGTGTTGTAATTCCAAGGAACACCCCAATTCCAACAAGGATGGAGACGACTTATGTGACTGTTAAAAACAATCAAACCAGGGTGCCAGTTTCTGTTTACGAGGGGGAGAGACTCATTGCAGAGAAAAACTATTGTTTGGGTAAATTTGATGTTCGTGGCATTTGCCCATCTTCAAAAGGTGCTGTAAAGATACTCATGTCGTTTGAAATCGATGCAAATGGCATTTTGACTGTGACAGCAGAAGAAAAAGGTACTGTAAACAAGAATTATATTACCATCACCAACCATAGTGGTAGGCTATCAAGCGCGGAGATTGATAGGATGGAGGAGGCGGCCAAGAAGTACCGGGCAGAAGATGAGGAGCAGAAGAAGGTGGCCAGAGAGAAGTTTAACTTAGAAAATTTTATCAACAACATGTGGGATATGGTGAGCGGGAGCGAAATTGTGATGCAGGACAGGACAATGAAAGATATGATCGAACAGACGAGTAAATGGATGGATTGGAATTGCAATCTTCGCGAGGCTTCTAAGTTTGAGGAGAAGCTAAATGAGCTCAAGAACATTTGTGATCCTGTCATTGCCGAGATAAACCAGAATAGTCCTAACCCAATCTAGACATTGGGATATTCTACTGATGTTCTAATAGCTAGTTGACTCTTACAAGCCTTTCTTTCTATCAAATCCATTCAGTTTGTTTTCATTTTTTTATTTTTATTTAATTTATAATTTTTGTAAGGAATAGGTAGGTTAAACAATTAATGCATTGACAACTTAAGCAAATAGATATTCTACTCTGTCATGAATTCATGATCATGACTAATTAAGGAAAGATTATATATATGTGGGAGTATTTAGCCTGATATAAAGAGTCCCCTATGAAAAAAAAAAAAAAAAAAAAAAAAAAGAGTTTAAGATTCAATAAATAGTTCTTTCAAAAAAAAAAAAAAAGAATCAATAAATAGTCAACACAAATTGTTTCCTCTACTAGAATTCCCGACGATTTTTTTCAAATTTCCGACGCCAAAAAGTAGATTGAACACTGAAGATGGGATGCAAAGGCGATGGCGATGGTGATGACAAATAAAATTGGCCAGCAATAGGAATCGATCTAGGAACCCACTTACTCTTGTGTTGGAGTTGGCAGAATAATCGTGTTGAAATCATTATCAATGAACAAGGAAACAGAGCGACGCCTTCTTGTGTCGCTTTTACTCAAACTCAACGCCTTATTGGCGACGCTTCTGTCAACCAGGCTACCACTAATCCTACTAATACCATCTTTGGTACTTTTTCTCCATCCTCCAAGTTTCTTTCTTTCTTTCATACTTTGTATTTTTTAATTTATTGCTGATTAAGAGTTTAAACTAATCATACTGATTAAAGTTGGTTGTGTCAAAAAAAAAAAAAAGTTGGTTGTAGTTAGTTAAGTAGAGAATTTTTTTCCACAATAATAGAATTTTTGCTAGAGTAATTAGTTAATTCTGTGTTTTTGTGAACATGATAATTTACTCTGTAGTTGATTTAATTGAATTTCAATTAATGGAACATAACGTTACTACATTTTTTTTTTTTTTTTTTGAGGGGACATAATGTTACTACATAGGTGTTCTTTTGAGAATAATTAAATCCAAGATGAAGCTGGTACTCTCAAAGTCAATTTTCATTCATGTAATTATTGGTGTTAATCAGTATTCTTAATCAAAGATTAATCCAAAAAATATGAAGAATGTTTAAGACTGAAGAATCTATGTCAATTTCTCTAAATGTTTAGTAAGGTGCATAATCTTTCTCTGCTTTTAGCTTTATTTAAAACCCGACCGAGGAAGCTGTATGGACAATGTCTAGCCTTAATAATTTGTAAGTGAACTGTGAAAGTGTCTTGAGGAATTAAGGAAGTGAATTATTTCAGACTTATGTTTATCCATCTCTCAATAACCTTTCAAAAGTTTAATATTGGGTGCTAAATTGCCAAGCAGCAGATAATATTTCGAGAAAATTGCATCATGTTGGAAAAAATGTTCGATTTTTTAGAAAATAATGTTGTTGCAACAATGTGCATTAGTTTGTAGCTATTAATTAAGGACATTTTTTTTACAAAAATTGCACGGTCATATACTCCATTTTCTTCTTTTATATTTACATTTTCAATTCAGTTTCTAGTTACATTCTCTAATTATTCTACTAGTATATATTACAGAAGCAAAGAGGCTTGTTGGAAGAAGATTTACTGATGAAACAGTGCAAAGTGACATAAAACTCTGGTCTTTTAAGGTTATTCCCTCTAAAGACAATAAGCCGATGTTTGTGGTCACCTACAAGGGTTCAGAAAAACAATTTTCTGCTGAGGAGATATCTTCAATGATCCTTATGAAGATGAAAGAGATTGCAGAGGCCTATCTTGGTAAGGAAGTGAAAAATGTCGTTGTTACTGTTCCTGCGTACTTTAATGATTTGCAACGTCAGGCAACTAAAGATGCTGGCACCATTGCTGGACTTAATGTACCGCGTATTATAAATGAGCCTACAGCTGCAGCCATTGCCTATGGCCTTGACAAGATGATTGCTGACAACAAAGAGATTGAGAAGAATGTGTTGGTTTTTGATCTTGGCGGGGGGACTTTTGATGTATCTTTGGTTAGGATTGAGAACAATGTATTTGAAGTGAAAGCAATAAGTGGGAACACCCACCTTGGAGGAGGGGATTTCGATAATAAAATGGTTAACCACTTTGTGGCTGAGTTCAAAAGGAAGTATAAAAAGGACATGAGTAACAACCCTAGGGCTCTTGGGAAGCTAAGAGCTGCATGTGAAAGGGCAAAAAGGATCCTCTCATTAAGCTCGGAGGCTACTATTGACATTGACTGCCTTTATGAATATACTGATTTCAAATCGACCATCTCCCGTGCCAAATTTGAAAAGTTGAACATTGATTTGTTTACAGACTGCATGGATTCTGTAGACAAATGCTTAACGGATGCCAAGATTGAAAAGAGAGATGTTCATGATATAATCCTTGTTGGTGGATCAACTAGGATTCCGAAGGTACAAAAGCTGTTGAAAGATTTCTTCAATGGTAAAGAGTTGTGCAAAAACATTAACCCTGATGAGGCTGTTGCCTATGGTGCAGCTATTCAAGCTGCAATCTTGAGTAAAGCACGTATAAATAATGACTGTGTATTGATAGATGTCACCCCTTTATCTCTAGGCATTGAACTTTATGGTGGTGGTCTATGTGTCATAATACCAAGAAACACAACCATTCCAACAAAAAAGGTACGCCATGGACTTACAACTCCCCGGAACAATATGACTAGCTTGGATTTTGATGTGTATGAAGGGGAGAGGCCTGTTGGGAAGGAAAATAACTTCTTAGGCGGGTTTACTCTTTCAGGGCTTCCTCCTGCTCCAAAAGGTGATGTATTGGTGACTGCCACCTTTGAAGTTGATGCCAATGGTATTCTGGCTGTGTCAGCAACAGAAATAAACACTGGAAAACAGGACAGAATTACCATTACTAACCATAGTGGGAAGTTGTCAAAGGTGGAGCTGGATAGGATGGCTAAGGATGCTAGGAAATACTTAGCTGACGACATGGAAAACAAGAAGGCGGCCAAAGCAAGATTTTCCTTAGAGAATTATGCTGATAACATATTGGATTTGGTGCAAGATAGTGAGAACAAAGTTCATACGCAAGCCAAGAAAAAGATGGAAGATGCTATTGAGAAGACGTTGCAATGGCTGGACTGGAATTCCCATCTCGTCGAGGCTTGTATGTTTGAAGAGAAATTGAAAGAGCTTGAAGGCATTTGCAATCCTCTTATTGCACAAATGCAAATGACTGAACTGGAAGGTCGCTGACTGCTGGTCCTGCCATGCATCCTGATATGAATTAATGTATAGGTCATCGAAGTTGGTTAATTAACTACGGCTTTTGCTTTTCCATGAATTACACGATTTTTGTAGCTTAATGCTTGATATGATTTACTGGTGTTGCATATGTTGGACTCAGAAAGACACACATTTTCTTTTGTTATCTCTGATGTACTAGTACATATCAATTTGAGCAATTTTCTAGCATTATTTAACATTGTAATGCTTGCTGCTGCTTTTCTGTTTTGTAGTACAGTGTTTTGGTTCTGCAGATGAGGAATTCATCTGATCTAGTCTTCAAGTGTGTTGAATGAACATATGATGAAGTTGTAAATATAGAAGTGGTTCGATGTGATCTTGTATATTCAGTATTGACACCGTGTTAACAAATAAAACTGGAGCTTTCTTGTTGCCGTGGAAGGTACATACAGAGAGGGTCTCAATTTTTAGTTAACCAACATTTCTTGTATGAGTAGACTTACAATAATCGGCTTACCACGCAAGGCTAGGAGGCTTGTCTATCTACAGAGTCATTAAAAGACTGACACATTTATACAGCTTTCTTATTGCAACCTAGCCTCAGATCATATCTCTTTATATTCTGTACAATCTTTCACCAGAATATATACTACTGTTGTTTACTAATCCAGTCCATTAATGATAGTCCACATTATTTCTCACTGATTTAACTATCCAAGCCATTCAGAAATAGTACAGAATTTGGCTAACAGCAAAATCTGATATATCTCATAAAGAAAACCAGGCTAAAAATTTTCCATATCGGCTTCAATTCAAGCTTGATAGTCATATATACATAGACGTAAGAGGCTAAAATATCTAGACTATCCTAGTTAAAGTGGAAATAGAATACCAAAAAAACAGGAAAAAAGGAAAAAATGAATTAATTTTCGTAGCAGATTAGTACTGGGGTAATAAGTACACGCTTTATCATTAATGTCAACAATCCAAGTATCGGAATCACTAGGTGCCACTTGCCCCAGCACCATCATTCGGTCGCATGCTTGCAACAAGAGGGTCACAAATGCTCTGTAGCTCTCTCATCTTTTCCTCAAATGTCCATGCTTCTGTGTGAAGATAATTCCAATCTATCCATAGCATGGTCTTCTCAATAGCTTTACTCATTTTCCGCCTGTCCTTGAGCTTAATCTTCTTACCATGATCTCTGAGCATGTCAGCTATAGTTTTAGTGTAGTTCTCCAAATCATTCCTGGCTTTAACCCTTAGACCTTGCCAATCATCCTCGAGCTTGAACTTTGCAGCATCCTGCATCATCTTATCGACTTCTTTCTCTGACAATCGCCCACATTGATTTAAAAATGGAATTCCATTCGTACTTCCAGTTTCCAATTCTTGGTTAAAACATTTCAAAATGCCATCAGCGTCGATTTCAAAACAGATGTTTACTTTAGGAACGCCTTTGTGTCCAGGAGCAATATTAGGGAGTTTAAAAACACCCAATGAATAATTGTCTTTGACTTTGGATCCCCAACCTTCAAAAACCTTAAATGAAGCTGTGCATTGGTTGTCCTCTGTAGTACAAAGTAGTTTTTGCATCCTTGTTGGGATTGGAGTGTTTCTCGGAATCATAACACCCTTGTCTTCAGGATCATAACAATCCTCAATGCCAAGAGAGTATGGAGTGACATCAACAACCGAAAAACTCATGTGATCTGTACCACTCAGGACTGCAGCCTGGGCGGCAGCACCATAGGCAACAGCCTCATCAGGATTAATGCTTTTGCAAAGCTCCTTCCCACAGAAAACACCTTGTAACAGCTGCTGAACCATCGGAATCCTGCTTGACCCACCAACTAGAAGAATTTCATTAATATCATCTTCATCAAAGTTAGCATCAACTAAACATTTACAACAGAGGCATAAACACTCCTCAAACAGCTCCATATTCAACTTCTGAAAGTGACCACGAGTAATGGTTGAAGAAAAATCAAAGCCTTCGAAAAGGTCATCAATCACAATACTAGTTGACGTTGCTGTAGACAGGATTCTTTTTGCCCTTTCACAAGCAGCTCTTAGCTTCTCAATAGCCCTATAATTCTCTCTAATGTTCTTTCCATACTTTCTCTGAATCTCAGTCACATAGTGTTCAATTATTCTGTTGTCAAAGTCTCTTCCTCCCAAGTTGGTGTCTCCACTTACTGATTTGACTTCAAATTTTGCATTCTCAATAATGACCAATGAGACGTCAAAAGTACCTCCGCCAAGATTAAATACCAACACATTCTTTCTATCATAAGTCATCCTGTTAAGGCCGTAAGCAATGGCAGCAGCCGTTGGTTCATTGATAATGCGCATCACATTCAGTCCAGCAATTGTTCCTGCATCCTTAGTTGCCTGACGCTGTACATTATTGAAGTAAGCAGGAACAGTAACAACAACATCCTTCACAGAAGTGCCAAGGTAAGCCTCTGCGATTTCTGTCATTCTGCAGAGGATCATAGCAGAAATCTCTTCAGCTACAAATGACTTCTCTTCACCCTTGTATGTCACCACAATCTTGGGTCTTATTTCTTCAGCATTGACTTTAAATGGCCAACGCTTCATGTCTTTCAGTAGAGCTTCATCATTCGATTTCCTGCCTATTAGCCTCTTTACATCTGCTATTCAAGAAGACACAGTGGATGATTGCATAACCAAATTAAAGTAATTTACTTCCATGGAGTATGAAGATAATAAAGCCCTGTAATCAATACTATAAATTGCTATTCAATGAATACTAATGAACTAGTTACTTTGTTGCGGAAAGAAAAGGATGAAAATGCAGTGAAATAAACTCTAAATCTCTGATCCAGATCCAGACATATGTGAACATCAATGAACTTTGACAGCATACAGAAAATTGAACTACATAATACAATGTCACATTAAGGGATCAATATATTCAAAATCTTCAAATCAATCACATAAGAAAATTATTAGATTACTCACAAAACAATTCATTTTCTTTTCTATTGAATAATAAGTTCAGAAACATTATTGTTCAAATGGAGTCATCATACCCTTTACAATAGCTAGTCCAAACGGCCATACAATTCGCAACAACAGAAGAGAATAAAGCCAAACTAATTCAGTAAATGAATGCTAGCTAGTATGACATAATTCGATAATTAGAACATAACATCAAGATCAACATCATGAGTCATGACACCCAAAAAAACTTGCCTCACTAGAAATATTTTTCGAAGTCTACAAAAAAATTTAATACATGAATTATTTGCTTCTCGTAGTTGTGTAATTTATAGCCATTTTATGGTAACTTCTGTAATTTGCACACACATTTTATCCAGTGATTTCATATATTCTTTACAAATTTTATAATGCACTTCCACCTAATTTGACAATCATTACTACCCTCCATCAAGAAAATTGCTTCTTTCATTTTTTTCAATAAGGACAATTAAATTTTTCATAATCTTCCCAAAAAAGAATATTTCAATTACATTCCTCATTTTACTTGACTTTTTCTTACAAATTTGATGTCTATCCTGAATAATCAAACCCAATATTTTAGCTACCTAAGCATTAATCATCAAGAAATCCCATAATTTTGTAAAAACAAAAAATCAAAACCCAAATATCAACAAAAAAATCAAAAACTTGTATCCAATAATCAAGATAGAAGATTAAATAATTTAATAACTAGAATCGTTGAATGAACTATATAAAGTAATAAGTCCAACACTCAACAACATCAAAAGCACCTATTAATAAATGTTCATATTCAAGATAACAATAGAAAGCAATTAATTGTAAAATCTGCTGAATATAATCTTTAAATAAAAGAACAATAAAGTTACCAAAAATAGTATTGGAAGGATTAATATCAGCTTGATACTTGGCAGCTTCTCCAATAAGGCGTCCAGTGGGTGTAAAGGCAACACAAGACGGCGTCGTTCTATTACCATGATCGTTGGGAATTATTTCGACCCTTCCATTTTGACAAACTGCAACACATGAATACGTCGTCCCGAGATCGATTCCTATCGCCGGCGACGGAGTTTCAGCTGTAGCTTGCATTTTAGGTAGAAATAGAACTACCAAAAAGCAGTTTGATTGATGATATTGTTATCATTTACGGTTATATTTGTAGAAGAGAGAGAAAATTGAGCTGCACTTCTGCCACTTCACTACTTAAGCTGCAGTTTTTACAGGATGGTCTCCCCTCTTTCTCTAATCTGAGTAATCTCTATACTCCTCTTTTCAATCCTTTTCTTTCTTCCTTTCTTTCTTTCTTTTTTTTCAGTTATTTAAGTAAACTTTTGGGTAATGTACGTACGGACTGTAGTATTAATTCTTTTTCCCCAATGTTGTAGACTGGCACTACTCTCTCTGTCCTTTAATTATTATTCCTCTTTTTTTTTTCCTCTTCAACAAACAAAGTTTTGGACCCATCACTATGCTCTCTCATCAAAGTTACACAACCAAAAATTAATAAAGTAAACATACACTATGGGGCAAAAATAAAAGGACGGAAGGAGTACAATTCATGGCTTGCCCGAGTTACTTTCCTTTAGTCCTACACCCATTCGTCCGTCATTGTCAATATTTGGGTTATATTTTTAATACTTTGACTATTAATTGAATCTTTGACCATTAATTGAATTACTCTGGATGACACCAACTTTTTAGTGTTGCAATTATTGACATCAACTTATGCTAGCTACAAAAATACTCCCTCTGTTTTATAAGAGCAAGATTAGCCTTGAATCTTAAAACTTCACATGACATCATCATGTTGGATCTTAAGACAAGACTCTTTGTTTGATCCCATTTTTCTTAGTTAAGTCTTAAAATTCAAAACTCAATTTAAGACTTGAGTGTGGGCCCTATTATATGTTTTTATTATTACTAAGAGTAAAAAATATAAATAAATAAAATATAATATTACATGATTACATGGTATGAATGAGAAGCCTTAAGTGAGTTTAGGGCTAAAGTGCTAAATATAAGTGAGTATTTAAAGAGTCTTAGCTAATACAATGACATCATTTGTAATGGGACCTATCAAAAACTGATGTTATTTTAAGTCGATCTTAAGATTTTAGGGCTAATCTTGCTCTAATGATGTTCCTGTTTACGTAAATCGATGTAAGTTATTATCCATCTTTGACCGTAAATATCTTTAATCTCTCACTAGCAATAATTATAAAACTTAGATATTAATAATATATACTCACCAAGACGAATAAAACTAGATCCCACATGACTATATTTTTTCTTATAGTTTAAGAGAAATTTAAGAAGATTCCCTCTTTTTTAAAAAAAAAAAATAAAAATTCCAAACAGGAACATCATTGTGGAACGGAGGGAGTAACAAAATTGACATAATGACATCGAACTATCAATTTTACTTAAGTTTAAACCCTCATAAAAGCATAAAATTCCTTTTCAACATTCATTTGCTGAGTGCCTGTTCTGTACACCTGGGTGTACCGTACACCAGGGGTCATTTGCTCAATAAAAATTGAACAAATGACCCCTGGTGTACGGTACACCCGAGTGTATATAACAAATTCTATCATTTGCTTGTGTTGTGTTGGAGAAAAAAAAAGGATTATATATAAATGACCAATGTGGAGTAAAGCTGAGTGTTTAACGTCTTTATGTCAAATATATATTGGACCCTTAAGGGCTAAAATGGCCCCTAAAACGTTAACGGAATATTTTTCCGGCACGCAAATCGATGAAGTAATTGAATTGGTTTGCAATTTACAATTTATTAGTACTTTCGGGCTACAATTTGCAATTTTTTTTTTAAAATGGCTGCAATTTTTAAACTACAAACTTTAAATGGCTATAATTCGCAAATTTTACTTCAAATTTAACCCGATTTTGATCAACCAAATTAAACCAATGCGGCCTCCGTTTTTTTAGATAAAATAACTTGAAATTTTCATTATTCACATACTTACATACATTATATTTTACACCGTATGATTTTAATTTTTTTTTATTCGTCTCAATAAATAATTTTTTTTGAAAATCACAAATATTACGACCTTCGTGTTTTAATAAGTATTACACTTTGAAAGCCACATAGTTTTAGACAATTTAATTAACTTAAATAAAATAAAAGGTAAGTGGGATAGTTGGAGTATTAAAAAATTGTAAAATAATACTATTGTTTTGTTATATGCTTGTACTAGGTTATGTCCCGTGCCATGCACGGTAATATATTAAATAAAATTATTGTTGTAATAGGTAGTACATAACATTCTAGGACACATTCTGGCACACATTGCGGCACAATTATGTTAAAAATCTGATTTAATATTTATTTCTTTTTACTTAATTTTATAGTTTTCTCAAAAAAAAAAATATAGTTGTCAATGTATATATTATGAAAAGACATATCAAATATTTTATTTATGTATTATTTTGTTATCTTTTTTTTTATGTATAAGATTTGTCAAATATTTTATTTATGTATTATTTTGATATCTTTTTATTTATGTATTATTTTGATATCTTTTTATTTATGTATATAGTATTGATTGATATGTAATATGCTTTAGATACAGTTTTGAATGCCCTAACTAGGTATTCATTCCGTAAAAGTTAAAAGCACAAGTAGATTGGTGGATTTAAAGTTTTGATCCTGCTTTATACTTTGGTGATCAAGTGTACTTTTTTAGTCAAATTATTTTTTGATTAAGAACTTTGCTATATTTCAAACTTGTTTTTTGAATCCATTTTGTTTCCAAGCCTTTACTAATGGCGAAATGGCCGATGATAGGCATCGATTTAGGGACAACATACTCATGCGTAGGAGTGTGGCAGGCACAACAAAACCGTGTAGAGATCATTACTAATGACCTGGGAAGCCGTTCAACACCGTCTTGGGTGGCCTTCACCCCTAACAACCGCCTTGTCGGCGAGGCGGCAAGGAATCAAGCGGGAAAGAACTCTTCAAACACTATTTATGGTTTGTTATTAACTTTTTTTTTTTTCTTCTTATTTTTGTTTATGTGCTATCAATTCTTAGCATGTGATGAAATGGGAGCACATTATAGTTCTTTGTGTTAGGATTTCAATTGAACATTATAGTTTTTATGTTCAAGATTTGTTTTGTTAAATTGTTTTTTTGTATAAATGTCGGATGTGTGCATGACTCTTTATTAATGAATTTGATTAAATGGTTAGATTTCCTCAAAATAAAAGATACATTATTTTGCTCCTATATAGATCAGAATTTTGGCTCCGAAGTATAGTGGTGATAATTTCAAGATATGTTTAACATTGAGCCTAAACTGTACAATATGCAGTTACATTAGATTAAACCTATAAGATGAACATATTATAAACACTAACAAAGTAATAATACACTATGTTATTATTACGTGCAAATAACTTGTTTTCTTTTGTGGGTAAATGAGTTGATGTATGTCTCTTAAATCTTGACTTGAGGTTGAAAATGAATGTTTTTGTAAGATTACATACAGTGTCATCAGTTCCTAACTTCTTGTTAATGAGTATGTACAGACGCCAAAAGGCTCATAGGTAGAAGATTCAACGACGACAAGCTTCAAAAGGACATGAAGCTCTGGCCTTTTTAAGTAGTTGCTTGTCCTGATGGTAGCGACGGAAAGAAGCCCATGATCGTGGTCACCCACAAGGGCGAAGAGAAGAAACTTGCTCCTGAAGAGATATCCTCAATGGTCCTCGCGAAGATGAAAGAAACTGCAGAGGCCTATCTTGACTCGGAAGTAAAAAATGCTGTTGTTACTGTTCCGGCCTATTTCAGTGATGCTCAACGTCAGGCAACTAAAGATGCAGGAGTCATTGCTGGACTGAATATCATTACGAATAATTAATGAGCCAACAGCAGCCGCTATTGCCTATAATTTTGACAAGTTTAAGAGTAATGTAGTTACTCCTAAGAATGTGTTGGTGTTTGATCTTGGAGGAGGGACTTTCGACGTTTCTTTTGTCACTATTAAAAGAAACGTCGTGAAAGTGATTGCTGTAGGTGGTAACACCCACCTTGGTGGAGTTGATTTTGACAGTAGAATGGTGAGTCACTTTGTCGCGGAATTTAAAAGAGAGCACAATAAAGACATTAGTACTAATCCTAGAGCTCTTGGGAGGTTGAGAGCTGCTTGTGAAAAGGCTAAGAGACAACTTTCGTGGACTACTGAGACTAATATCGAGATTGATTGTCTGTTTGATGGAATAGATTTTTCATCTACCATAACTCGTGCTCGATGAGAAGATGAATATGGATTTGTTCAGGGATTGTATGGAAGTTGTTGAGAAGTGTTTGAAGGATGCCAAAATGGGAAAGAGTGATGTTGATGATGTTGTTTTTGTGGGTGGTTCGACAAGGATCCCGAAAATTCAGCAAATGTTGCAGGACTATTTTAATGGAAAGGAGATATCCAAAAGCCTGAACCCGGATGAAGCTGTTGCTTATGGAGCTGCCGTTTATGCTGCAATCTTGAGTGATGTACGACAAGATGAGCAATTTTCGCTTGTTGATGTCACTCCTTTATCTCTCGGTGTTGGGCTACATAGTGGTGCTTTCAGAGTTGTGATTCCAAGGAACACACCGATCCCTACCAAGGTAAATAAGAGCTCGGTCACTGTCTCTGACCGCCAAACTAGGATGAGGACTAGTGTGTATGAAGGCGAGAGTCCCATTGCTGAGGAGAACAACTTCTTGGGTGACTTTCTTCTAACTGGCATCCCTCCGGCACCAAAAGGAAAAATCAGGGTTATTGATTGTTTCAGCATTGATGCCAATGGTATCTTGACTGTGACATCAACAGAAGAAAAGTCTGGTCAGAAGAAGCAAATTACTATAACAAATCACAAAGGGAGGTTATCAAAGGTGGAAATTGATAGGATGTCGAATGAGGCCAAAACGTACAATGCTAAGGATAAGGAGCAAAAGAAGGCCGCGAATGCCAAGAACACTTTGGAGAATTATATACATGAGATGGAGGATACCTTAAGAGGTAGTGGAGAGAAGATCGGTGCAAAAGACAAGAGGAAGCTTGGGGATGCCATTGATCAGACTGCGCAATGGATGAAATGGTATACCATCAATGTCGAAACTTCTATGTTTGAGGAAAAAATCAAAGAACTTGAGAGCGTTGTGCTCATATCATTGCAAAGTTGCGCCAACAGCTGAAAGATGTTGGTGAAGCTAGTTATTCTCGAACCAAGATTGAAGTTGTGGAGCTCGATTGACAGAGCTTGTTAGGATTAGTGTGGAGATAGATAAATACATGGAGACATAAGGAGATTGCATAGAAGCTGCCTTATTGTTAAGGTTCGACCAAACTTGTGAAAAGTTCGGTCGAACCCGGTTTTAAGTCAGTAGGTGCACTAGTTTACATTTCTAGAGGAGGAGTGACCAAACCCAAGGAGGTTTGACCGAACCACCCCAGGTTCGACCGAACTCTGGGTAGGTTCGGCCGAACCTCCCTGCTCCCTATTTCGTCGCTTCGTTTTCG